AATTAATGCMAACAATATCAAGCAACATTTATATATGGTCATAGTTTTGTATAGAAATGAAAGATTTGAAAGTAAAAAAGCTAAACAAAAATGTGCTATGAGTAGTTGTAAGCCCCTCCAATCAAAAATAAGTGGCTGAGCCTCTGTGTAAATTATATATTGGAAACAATGTTCCAGTTAACAGTGTCAAATTTATCAGGAGATCTTTGTGGGGAAAGATTAGAAAAGATCTGTATCCTCCAATACCTTCCTTATTTTGTATCTTTGTGGTAATGATTTTTTGGGGTGCACCCCCCCTCCTGAGAGTCCCCCACCCCTACTTGAGGAAATTCCTAGATCATCCCCTGGTATGAAAATAGCAACCGGTTAAAAATCCCTTTTTTCCATTTTTATTTGTTTTAGTTTTCTTTGTCAACGTTTTTTTGCAAACATACCTTTTAATGGTTATCCAAACATCTGTCCAAACATCGTGTTCTTCCGCCTCACTTGCATTTGCGTGACTTATGGATGTCACATGGGTTCCGCATGACGTAACTTTGATCTCTTCCCAGTCCACGTAATGCTCGATGGGGCAATACAAATATTTCATCTTCAATATGGCGTTCTGCGAGAAGGTTTGTGATGCTCTTTTAGAATATAATACATCAAAGATTGTACATATAAAAAGCAAGAAAGTTGGATTAATAARTAGACTGATTCAACTTGCAATTATAGCTTACATTATAGGGTAAGTCATAGCTGTTTTTGACCCAATGTTTATGATGTTTGAGATGTGGATCATCTTAGTATAGGCAATAAAGATTAAATATTTATTTGTAGCTGTTAAGCACTTCGGGTCGTCATTGAATACTGCATTTTGATATGAACATACTTTTATATTTACGAGTAAAAGAATTAAAACTTAGGGAAAATTGTTAAGTTTTCTTTACATTGAGCTAGTGTGAGATAAGCTTAAACTTATCTATCTCAGATAAACTCAGAATTTGTTATCACTGCGATTTGTTAAGCTTTAATCTATAACAATTATTATTAGTTACATTGATCATGTGCAATATAGCTATAAGAATACTTCTCATTTTTTTCATTCTTGCACTTTATTCAATTAATTCATTTTTACTTAAGCTTCACTTGATGCAATCAAGATAACACTAAGAACTGGATATATTAAGGTTCAATTAATGGTGGCTAATACTATTCCTCTCAAGATTTTCCTTAGAACAAGATTCAAAATTTGACTTCAAGACAATTATTGGCACATTCAAATAGTGGAAAAAGTTTATGGGGCTGACCTATGAAGCCAACTATGTTGATGAATGACCGCTCGCCAACATATTGTAGTTGAAATATATAGAAATGAATATTGAATAAATGTTCTCAAATGATCTCTTGGTATTTGTTGGATTTGAAAAGGTCTAGTAAAGACGAAACTAGTTTTCCTCAAGCAAATCTTGCGTTTTCTGTGCGTTGAAGGAGGGATAACACATTTATTTGACATCCTCTAAAATGAAGTCTCAAATGATCATATGAGCACAAATGATGTTAAAATACAAAAAAAAATAAAACAACAGATATGAGTTTATAACAAGACATGTTTCGGCATCCTTATGCCATCTTCAGTTGTATAAGTTAATTACATTTGAAGAGCTTCTATTTATACTAGTTGAGTCTAGAAATGATAAATGAGATAACAAAGATATTAATTTACAACGGTTGTATCTAATGTTTGACTTAAAATAACAATAAAAAGGCAAATTACAAAAGAAAAAATCTAATGACTAAATACATTTAAAATGGAACAAAAATAGCTATAAACGAATGGTTGTGGAGTAATGCTTAACTTGCTTATTTTGTTCAGGCTGGTTTGCCTTAATGTGTAGAGTCTCCTTGAACTTTAATTGATAATTGGAAGTTGCCATATCAATATTTGAAAACAATCAGGAGAAACAGTCTGTTTGCACTTAGTGTTGTTATCTAGGTGTTTGTAAATATGCGAGTTATTATCTGAGAAAAGGTGCTCACTTATGTGTTTAGAAAATGGTAAATTGATTCACCAATGTACTGCTTCTGACAACCAGCACAAGTAAATTTATAGATCTGAAGCTCTTCAAATGTAATTATCTTATACAACTGAAGATGGCATAAGGATGCTGAGACATGTCTTGTTATAAACTCAAATCTATTGTTTATTATTTAGAATCAATRTTCATTTCTATCTATGTATGGGTTCACCCAATATAATGACCACTAGCGAGTCAACATAGTTGGCTTCATTAGCTCAGTTGGTAGAGCACTGCACCGGCATCACAGAGGTCATGGGTTCGATTCCCATTTTCGGGCAATACATTTATTAATTAAATCACTTAGATTATTATTCTGTCACTGCAACAATTCTAACATTTCCTTACTTAAACTTATTCATTAAAAAATATATTGAAATAATGAAATGTTGATCCCTTCTAGTTATGTCATTATTTACAAGAAAGGCTACCAAGAAAAGGAAAAACCATATAGCTCAGTCACAACCAAGTTAAAAGGAGTTTCATTTACAAATCTTACACTTAAAAGTGGATCTTTTCCATATTATGGTGGTCCATTTGTATGGGATGAAGCTGATTATGTGGTCCCTCCAGAAGTGAGAATCATGATTTTCTTTTACTTTTTATCCTTATTTCATGCATCCAAATCATCCAAGATGGGTGTTTGTACAGTTGCCCATCATGGATGATGAGAAGCCCTTAAGAATATCTTGAAAGAAGTTATTGACTACATTCTTTCTTACATCTTTTATCACTTGTATAGTATTTACTATAGTTATTTCTTTTCCTAGGAAAGTAATGCATTTTTTGTAATCACCAACATGATCATCACTCCAGATCAAAAACAGGGTAAATGTCCAGAGAGTTCAGGAACACATGGAGTCAAGTGTTATAACGATAGTGATTGTACACCTAATAAGCCAACATTGTATGGTCATGGTAAGTAGAATTCCAAAATAAACAAATTTCAGAAAGAAATGATCTCAAAATGTTATATAAATGACTACCTATTGTTCCAGAGACTTTATTCTATCTTCTGTGTGTATAAATTATTTCTTTTATTTCTGTTCTTGCCAAGCAGCAAACCAAGAGAAGTGGTGTCATTGATAAGTTTGCTGGCATTTAAAGCAGCTTGATTACACCGCTTGCAGAGAAGAGTTACATACACAGAGAAGGAAGGGATACAAAGAAGCCTCTGGAACAAGGATATTGATTGACATATCTGTACCTGAGCAATCAGAAACATATTTAGTACTCGTCATTTTAATATTAAAAAACATTTTATTTGAACCTTTTATTCTTTGTAATACAAAATCAATTAATCCATTACCATCATTGGTTTGGTAGGAATCCAGACCGGTAAGTGTGTGAACTCGTCGACTAATAACAAGACATTACAAGTATGTGAGGTGTATGCATGGTGTCCAATAGAGACAGAYGTCACTCCAATGCCTATCTTTGATCCAAAGCTTCAGTAAGTACAATTATGGTACAATGCAAAATGTCTTCTATGCATGGAAACTTTGCTCCTTTATTTTCAAGACAATGCTTGAGCTTGGTCTCTACATATGTAATAGATATTGTCTTAAGCATTTAGTTTGAGACAATGTTTCCTAGAAATGATATCCACCTTAAGTTAACACAATCTTTGTTCAAATGATGTATTATTAGTAATTGTTTTAATCCTGTCCAGTTCAGGTGGCTTATAATTATTTTGTTTTAGGGAAGGAAAACCTCTATTAGATGCAAGTGAACATACTGTGTTAATCAAAAATACTGTACAATTTCCTACTTTCAAAATATCCAAGTAAGACATTCATTTATTAATTTAAAARTATACCATGGTTATTTTATGCAAACCAGTACAAAGTGATTTTTCTATATTCTTTAAATACTACCCTTACCTTKTAATGTGGTGCATAAGAAATAAGATGTTATAGAGAAACTAATACCATTAAATTGCATCAAAATGTCTAAACTTGCCATTRTGGACTTCATTTGCAAAAAATGGCTCTGCTAGAGTCTGTAGCACAGTTTCTACAAGAAAGTTGTCATTGTAACCTCACTGATGCTACCTTCAGGGTTCACGCTACTCCTTGAAATCCTTGAAAAGTCCTGGAAGTGAAAACTCGCTTGAAAAGCYCTTAAAAATGGGAAAAATCGCTAAAACTCCTGGAAAACCCCTTGAATTTGATATAATTAACATAATTTTGCTTTTTGCTGTTTGGATTGAAATGTGGCTATTTTGGAAATCACCACTGAAAACATTTGCAAACATCTGTACCTTAATGAAACATGTTCCATACACCTACTGAAATGCTTCCTGTGCTTACATGAATTTCTCCAACTGGCATCAGGTGTATCCTCAAGTTATCCTAACAACTACACCACCTTTAGACTTAGCTTGGAATGGAGATTGCATATGACACAGTAACACAGTGTGCTTCTGTACTTGTGCATCACACTGACCAMCCTCTGAATTGAAAACCCTGGGCAMAACTTGMCTTTGTGCTCAATATTGGAGGACCCATGTAGTCCTGAAAAACACTTGTCATTGCAGTCTTAAACAGGCAGTGTCTTTCCATTTATAATACAGAATTCAAGTCATCTAATGAGAAATTTAAATGTTCCCAAAAAAAACAGGGCAATAGTCTTATTCACAGTTCTCTGCGCCATCCTGAAAGGTGGCCATGCCTTTGCATCGAAGCAAGATGACCATTGAGGGTGCAATGATAGAAACCTTCTTTCACACCAGCAGACAATTATTCATAGGTATCTACATGTATCATTGCACGCTCAAGGGTTGTCTCTCTTCAATGTGAAGGCACAGCTCCCTTTCAAGATGGTGCAGGGAACTGTGAAGGAGACAACCACATTTTTTTCAATACAATCGTTTTTTTTTTCTATTCAGGAGAAATATTGATTCACATTCAAATGGAGGRCAACTGAAAAAATGTACTTATGACAARAAGACTTCTCCACTGTGTCCAATTTTTAAACTAAAAACCATTGTAGATGAAGCAAATCAGGATTTCTCAAAGCTTGCTTATGAGGTATAATTCTTGACTATGAACTGCACCAAAGAGTTGATAATTCTTGTACCTTCATGCAGATGTCATTTAAGGGTCATTTGACAAGAATATGACCAATTTAGATGATTTTTTTTTGGCTCATAGTTTAGAATAAGCAGTAGGCTGGGRAGCTGCAGTGCCTAGAATTTATGCAAATTAGTACCTTTAAAAATCATCCTTTTTAATGTGCAATTGTTTTTGTTTGCAATAAAATTTGGTGTGATTACTAGCTTGTCAATGACAAAAATTTGTCTGGGGAAATCACTCTTCAGTTTGAGGCTTGCCAAGATATGCATGATTTTTGCACGAAATGGCTCWTAATAGCTTTCTTCATAATTGCAGGGSGGAGTGATGGGAATCATAATCAGATGGGACTGTGATTTTGACTCTCTTACTTACTCATGTAAACCTGTATATTCATTTAGAAGGTAAGCACATGTCTCCATTCTACAGTATATAAAATGGTCTACTATTACTAGTATATCATTTTCTTTTTCATCGCATATAATGGTCATCTATCAATAAATCACACCTACCATTCTATCTATCTCATCCATCCAATTTCATCYGATTTCAGTTACTAATTAACTGTTCCACAGACATTGATATTTTCCAGCCATTGATACCAACAATCTTCCACTTATCTATCCCTTCACATCCATTTCATTCTCCCACCCATTTCATCTATTCATCTATCCAAACAACCAGCTTATAGTACAACATCCAATTTTGTTCAGATTGGATGATTCTCATGCACCTATTGCAGAAGGATACAATTTCAGGTGTGTGATTTGATATATATTTGGTGTTTGATAATTCTAATAAGTCCGCACATGTAAAATACAAAGAAATGTATGGAGAACTAAAAACGAGTTTACTCTCTAGGTCAAGTAAGTCCTTCAAAACTCGCCAGTTAACTCCTTTTCATAGTATTTATGATTCTTTCAGAATAGGAATTTATATTTGACATCGATTTCCCACTRTATCCTTGTTTGTTTGCGAGACTTTGCTACCCAAACAAAATTGTGGTCAAAACACACCTCAACTATTAAAACAATTCCACTGTATGTACTCATATTATATAATAAAGATACGTGGACCGGGGTTTCCATTTGACTCCATGCACACTTTACTCTTTACTTTTTAGTCCTTGAATGTTGCTCCCGGGGGGGGGACTCCCTAATATCAAAGGGCGGGGGTCCTCGCCGGAGATTGTGAAAATGACCCCTAAAAGGGACCTCTATTGTGAGATGATGGGCGTGGCAGTGCTGAAATTTCAACCCTAAAAGGGACCAATCAATAACAGGTCATTTTGTTTTGGTTTACCGATTTTATTTGTGTTTTCACACAATCATCGAACACCGCCGGCTCGTATTGAGTTTATGACGACGTTGCCATTTATGACTGCTTAGGGTCGCCGTATACCCTAAAAGGGACCACAAAACACAGTTGGTAGGAATTCTTGTCATGATCACCCTAAGCGGGACCAAAATACTGATTACAAACCCTAAAAGGGACGCCGAGGACCCCCGCCCTTTGATATTAGGGAGTCCCCCCCCGGGATGTTGCTAACAGTTGTTATTGTTAATTTGTAGATACGCTCGGTATTTTGTGAAGAATGACACATTACATCGTACTTTGTTTAAAGCTTACGGAATTCGATTTGTGGTGACCGTCATTGGCGAGGTAAGAATAGAAACTGAAGCTCATATGATTAGTGTGAGTTAAATATATTTAGATCGGACCGTTAAAATTACACCTAATTGAAAAAACGTTGCATGTCGCAAAAGATTGAAGCTGACACTGAAAGCGATTTCAAGTACTAAGAAATTGGAATATATTTGCCTAAACACGTTACAATATTATTACTGTAGAGAATGTCTTTTATTCAATTTTATTCAGTGCAAGCAATTTTGACTTRTGGAACTGAAACACTGACACACTGCTAATTGACCATAAGAAAAAGGGCGTGGCTATAGTAACGCCTTTGTTTATAAGATGTTAATATATCATTACTACCCCTTGAAAAAACATAGTACAATGAACAAGATCTGGAAGTTTCAATGGTCTAACATTTAAGGACATTTAAGGTCTAACATTTCAGGAGTTTAAAATTGAAGAGGTTTGAGTGAAAATCAGTTTTGAGGCGTTACCAATCCATTTTAACGTTTTTTGTAAAATTCAAATGCTCGTAAGTCTGCTGATATTCAACATTTGAAACTAAAACTTCGCCAATTTACTAGCGTAGATATACCTTTTCTTATGATGAAAACAGATTTTCAAAAACACGGTGCTCATTCCCAGTTTTCTGCTCGTTTCAATGACTCATAATATATATAATAATTATATTTGCCTTTTCGTGCTACCTTTCGTTTGGTCTTAGCTTTCAAGATGTAACTGCCCTTATGCATCATCTCCATCCTTTCTAATTGCTATGCATGTATTTATGTTTTCATTTGTCTTTAATAGGGTGGTCAATTCAGCGTTATTCCTCTCTTCCTCAACCTTGGATCTGGTCTTGCTCTTCTTGGAATTGTAAGGGACTATCTCAGTGTTTACTGACAGTGAAATTCTATAAGCTAATASCATATGTCTATTTTTAGGCCACTGTCCTGTGTGATGTAGTCGTATTATATGTATTAAGAAGAAAGGAATTTTATCGTGCAAAGAAATACCAGGTTGTCAATGACAACACAGATGAGGAGGTATGTAAAGGGAACGACTGTGCAAACACGCTTTGGGGTGATTGGGGTTTACATGTGAGCTTGAACGCCYGTCTCAAAATGAATAGCTAAGCAGTTGGTTGACTAGACAAGGGCATAAGGTACTTGCGTGCGAATGAAGCAGAAATGTCGGAAATGTCCAAGCATTAACAGAAACATATCATCTTTTTGTGTTCTTTCTATGATTCATCCCTGACTATGCATTCAGCGTGTCTCCCGTTGTTTGAAAGAAGAAAGAGCGAGCTACACTTAGGCTGTAATGCCGCTGTACAATGTTAAAATTAGGAACATATTGGGGCATATATGACCGCATTTGAACTTTATTTCACCATATTCACTATAAGTTCGTTTTAATTCTTTGTTATTGTTTCTGCAGGCCCTTGTTCACAATTCCTACGGCAGCAAGTCATCACTTAAGTAATAATAACACATCAACATCAAGGAAAATGAAAATARTATCCAGACTACCGCAGTCCAAAGTGAATAAAAAGGCTCATTTTTTTAGCACTTCAAAATTTGCTTTGTGTACTAGTTTAATAAATGCACTTTTGAAAATCGTTGGAAGACATCTCGTAAAGTTGCATCAAATGAAAATATTGTCATGGAGAGGGAATAACTTTAGTGCAAAGCACATTTCTATAAAATGTAAGTTTATCTCTCGATATTTTTACCTTCTAGACTTCAATTCAATTAGATGAAAATGAAATATCATATATTAAACTATATTTAGATATTAAAAATAAAAAGTAAATTAACAATGACCATATTAAATAAAACACAAATTTTAGTCAAATGYGGTGAACAATTTTTTCTTTTAAATATTTTGCTAGCGTGCACAAGATACACTGAATCCATGAAATTGTGATTATTTGCTTGTAGTCTACTGTGTTTTAACACATTAAAATGGCGTTCACAAAGAAACTTTTAATTTAAACTCTTCCAAGACAAAAGATATGTCTCTTTTAGTCATTTTTCACAGGAGGRGTATATGTTTGAAATGGCTCTCTGATTGTTAAAACGTCTTTTAGAATACGGACWGCTGGATGTTCTCCTTTAAGCTCTTGAAAGACATGCCTACAAGCTRCATGTACTTGCATTGCTGAAAATAYCAAATAAAGACAATACTTGAGATACAGGTAGTGAAGGGAAAGATGGCAACACCAAGTAGTACATGRCTTGTCTGACACCTAACATTGTTTATATTTACTTTTTTCA